GTGAGGAGGGGGGAATGAAGGGAGGGGGGATGCTTGGGGGAAAACAAAAGTAGAAACCACTGGAGAAGCCACTCTGAGGTCACCCAGCTGGAAGAAGGAGGGTGTCATGCCCCTGTTGGAGTCTGATTCCAAGGGAGAGGAGGAACAACCAACAGGGAGTGGGAGTGTGGCTCCGGAGGTTGTGGAGGAAACTGGGGAAGGGCACAAGCCGGCTGGGCAGTCAGAGGAAGACCCAGGCCCATCCCCTCTTCATCTTAGGCCCCTACGCAGGGAGGAGCAGATAAGGGAGAAACATGAATGGTGTGGTCTATGGGAGAGGAAGGGGCCCTGATCCCCTTCATGGGCTGCAGCTGTGAGGACTGTTTAAAAGGACAAACTGCGCATGGCCCAGTGCTGGAAGCAAAGCATGAAATAATTCTAGTCTTTCAATTCTGATCTGAGTTCTGGAGTCCTTCCCAGTGTGTGTATTTCGATATCTGTGGACATCTTCAAGCCCTTATCCTGCCTTGTCTCATTAATTGCTTCAGTGTGGTTTGTGTTGTTTTTTTCCATTTATAATTTATATGTATTTTGAGTTTGAACGGCATTTCTGACTTTTTGCAACTGTTTGTGGGGGAGTTTTTTCTCTCTCCAGTCAATGATAATTGGAGCTTTGAAGCCAAGTTGAAGGAATTAAAGGGACTTCACCGGTTTTTGTGACTTCGTTGCTTTTGTATCCTGCCCTGGGTCATCACAGAGGGAGCTACATACCAAACTGGGCTCAGACTGACTGTCTAGCAGGAACTTGACTGGCAGTGTAAAACTTTGTGATTTGGGCCCGCGAATCTCAGTTCCGGCTTTGCACTACTGCCCTACGCTCGACCTACTATTAAACTATTATCTTTCTCCACAAATGGAGCCAAGGACCGTTCTTACGGAGAGATTCAAGCTGTGACAGGTCTGAATTGGACTTAGGAAAATGATGGGGGTGGGGTGGGTGGGGGGCAAGAGAAGGCCTGCTTTGCATAGGCAAATGTGCCAGCCTCGTGTGGCACAGAAATGCCGCTCCTGATGGGAACTGCTTTAGGGAGGGTGGAAGAGCCTGTTTTCTCGGAAGTCAAATGAGATAATGTTCATTTATTATGAAGACCCGGGTTGTTGGGGGGGGGGGGCAATATGCTGACTTTGTAAACACTTAGAGAGGTCTGTAAAGCACTGTGAAGTGGTATATAAGTCTAAGTGCTATTGCTATTCCTTCCTTCCTTCCTTCCTTCCTTCCTTCCTTCCTTCCTTCCTTCCTTCCTTCCTTCCTTCCTTCCCTTTTCCTTTCCTTTCTCCTTTCCTTTCTCCTTTCCTTTCCTTTCCTTTCCTTTCCTTTCCTTTCCTTTCCTTTCCCTTCCTTTCCCTTCCCTTCCTTTTCCTTTCCTTTCCTTTCCTTTCCTTTCCTTTCCCTTCCTTTCCTTCCTTTCCCTTCCCCTCCCTTCCTTTCCTTTCCTTTCCTTTCCTTCTTTCCTTTCCTTCCTTATAATCCAGCCAACTGCCAGGAATTCGATCCTGAACCAGCTCAAGGTTGACTCAGCCTTCCTTCCTTCCAAGGTGGGTAAAATGAGGACCCAGATTGTTGGGGGGAAGAGGCTGACTCTGTAAACCGCTTAGAGAGGGCTGGAAAGCACCGTGAAGCGGTATATAAGATGCTAGTTAAGGCAAGTGTCAGCTGCCGCTTTATGCTCATTTTGTACATCGCTGTTATGCAGTGACAGTCTGTGGTGCACTGTGAGGAGGGTGAATGAAGGGAGGGGGGATGCTTGGGGGAAAACAAAAGTCGAATCCACTGGAGGAGCCACTCTGAGGTCACCCAGCTGGAAGAAGGAGGGTGTCATGCCCCTGTTGGAGTCTGATTCCAAGGGAGAGGAGGAACAACCAACAGGGAGTGGGAGTGTGGCTCCGGAGGTTGTGGAGGAAACTGGGGAAGGGCACAGGCCGGCTGGGCAGTCAGAGGAAGACCCAGGCCCATCCCCTCTTCATCCTAGGGCACGAAGGGAGGAGCAGGTAAGGGAGAAACATGAATGGCGTGGTCTATGGGAGAGGAAGGGGCCCTGATCCCCTTCGTGGGCTGCAGCTATGGCTATTAGAAGTTTATCCCATCCTTCCTCCCTGAGTTTGCTCTGCTAAGCCCCTAAGTTATGGTTGGCCATTATAGGAACAGAGTACCAATAGAGACAGGGGTGCAATCAAATACAACAGGATTTTTCTAAGACCCATCGTTCTCTCTCACAGAGGGGGAGTGGGTTTTGTTTTTTAATGACTACATTCTACTATCCAGAGGTTTTGCATCACAACTCCCATAATCCCTTGCCACTGGCCATCCTGGCTGGATGGGTAGGGGAACGTTTAGTTGTTCTGGCAGAACTGCCTACCATCTTCGTTGGGGGTCTTCTTCTGCAGCTACTTATTAAACCAGAGCTATGCCCTGGCCTCCTGGCTTCCCGGAAATGTTTTCTTTTACATGCAAAACAAATGGAAATTTAGCCAGCTCAAATAACCCCCCCAGAGAGCAGCTTTCAGAACTGAAAATCAATATTTGCAAAGGAGGGAGCCATTTTTCTGGCCACGCGTCCTGGATGCAAATGGCAGAATCAACATTTTGTAACGAAATACGGTGTCGCGCGTGACAATGAAGCCTGTTGGGACACTTACTGACACTCCTGGTCCCAAGGACGGACACTCGGGGTCCCTGGTTGTGTAGCCTTCTCCGGTATATTGCACCAGGAAATCTGACCGCCATGCAGATTTCTGTACCTTGTTCACCTGGCATGAAAGGAGACTCATTTCAAGAAACAGATCTAAATAGAAAAACTCTCTCTCTCTCTCTCTCTCTCTTTTTCTGTTATGATTTCTAAATGTATTTTAGACACTTCCGTTGTGCCCTGTCAGGCTTCATTGCCCACCTAACCTAAGAGGAAGAAAGATTAAAAGATTCTTTAATGAACAAATTCTCTCTCTCCCCCCTGTCCTCTTCTCCCTCTCTCCCCCTCCCTCTCTCCCTCTCCCCCCCCCTCCCTCTCCCCCTCCCTCACCTCTCTCTCTCTCTCCCTCTGACAGGGGTCTCTATCCTCCCTTCCTCTCTCCCTTTCTCCCTACCACTCCTCTCCCTCCCTCTTCTTTTCCCTCCCTCTCTCCTTCCTACTCCTTCTCTCTCCCTCCCTCTCCTCTTTCTCTCCCTCCCTTTCTCTCTCTCCCCCCTCCCTCTCCCACCCTTCCTCCTCTCTCTGTCTCTGTCTCTGTCTCTGTCTCTGTCTCTCTCTCTCTCAGACAGTGCTGGACCCTCAAGATTTCTTCATGAATTTATTAGAGATCTGCTTAAACCCCATAAATCTTCACATTCTGCGGTATGATTCTGCAATGTGTAAAAGTCCCACATGCAGCGTGTGAGCGAAGCCCTCCTTTGTAAACACCGCAAAAGTGTTGTTGTTTTTTAAATAAAACCCTCCTCTGTTCCTCAGAAAAGCTTTCTAACTGGACTCTTCCACTGGACCATATTCCAAAATTCAAGGCAACGGTATTACCAAGAGGGGCAAGAAAGAGACCCCGTCCATGTTGGTCTGAGAAGCATTGACTCCTGCAATGTCCAAGAAGGTGGGCGCCAAGTCGATATTCAGAATGGGTTCCTGAGAGGCAGAGAAGGGAGGAGACATTCTCAAAGCAATGAACCCTGGACGATGGTTCCCTAACCCACAAGTCTCATCTTCGTGGCTTTACAATCCGTAGTAGGAAGCTAACACAGATAGTCTCAACTTACAAGAGTTTGATTAGTGATCATTCGAAGTGACAACAGGACTGGAAAAAAAAAGTGACCGATGACCAGTTTTTCCTACTTATGACCATTGCATCCCCCATGGTCATTACGAGCAAAATTCGGGTCCTCGGCAGTCGATTCATATTTATGACAGGAAATGTATCAAAGCGGTTTTGGCCACCCAACCTCCAGACGAGGCCTACAACTGCAGGAAGCAATAAAGGAAAAGATGACAGGACGCTACCGCCTGCAAACTGCCCCACAGGACTCTATGCCAGGGATCTCCAAACTTGGCAACTTTTGAGACTTGTGGACTTCAACTCCCAGAATTCCTCAGCCAGCAAAAGAATTCTGGGAGTTGAAGTCCACAAGTCTCGAAGTTGCCAAGTTTGGAGATCCCTTGCACTATGCTATGTGGCTTCAGATCTTCTGCAGGAGGACTGCAGACTCTGTGGCTTTTAAACCATGGGGGGCAGGGGCAGGAGAGCCCAAATGAAGGGGGTCCTCCTCTTTTTCCCACACTCCAGTTGACCAAACAGCTGGATGATGTGGACAAAATTGTTGGGTTTACTAATTGTGATCATTAGCAATAGCACTTAAGACTTATATACCACCTCATAGTGCTTCACAGCCCTCTCTAAGCAGTTTACAGAGTCAGCCTCTTGCCCCCAACAATCTGGGTATTTATTTTACCCATCTCGGAAGGACAGAAGGCTGAGTCAACCTTGAGCCTGGTGAGACCTGAACTGCCAAACTGCTGGCAGCCGGAAGTCAGCAGAAGTAGCCTGCAGTACTGCACTCCAACCACTGCACCACCACGGCAGTTCAATGGGAGAATGAATGGGAGATCTGCAAGCAGCAATCTTGATTGGGGTGGGACTGGAGGAGGGAGAAACCTTGACTGTGGTCTGGAGAAGCAGGTATCTTGGAGGCCATCTTCAGGTATCTTGGAGGCCATCAATAGCCCTACCTTTGCCCAACTCAATAGGGAGAATATATGCTCGTCTAACCCATAAGTCATCATGCTCCCGTTTTAACTGAAGGTGGCCTCCACAAAGCCTGTGCTAGAACTTCAGCTCAGACCTTTCTTTCGGAACAAGAAAACCTACCAGGTATGTTTTATTTCCTTTAACACCTGGGCCTCGGACCAGCAACGGCACCCGGATATCAAACTCGTAAAGTTGCCGTTTGTCGATGGGCAACGAGAATTGCCCTGCAGGAGGGGGGGGGGGAGAAACCAAAGACAGCAGAACAGACAAACAGGAGGAGAAAGTCAATGGGGATGGTTGACAAACACGAAAAAGAATCGTTCTTCAGCAAGTGCAAATATTCAGTTTGGAGATCGGATTCAAAGGCCATTCAATCCCCAAAGTGAATTTCCAGATCAGGCTCAGACAACAAAAAGCCAAATTGGTCCAGACAACTCACATTAAGAAAAGATTTGGACATTTTATTTGATGGCAGGGCTTCTTGTGGAATCATATTTTTTGCTGCTTTTCTGCTTCAGTTACCGGTAATTAACTGTTGTCGTTAACGGTTTATTATTAAAGCTAGTTTTGAATGTTGCTGCCTCGATTCAGAAGACTGATGTCTGGTGAAATATTGTCTGAGGACATCTTGAAATATTTCACTATTTCCATTTGTGTCTTCACAAGTTTTCTTAAAAATATCTTCTACTCACCTGTGTGGTAACCATGATCTGAGGTGTAGAACACATATGTGCTGTCCAGCAATTTAAGGGACTTCAACTGATCCAACACTTTCTGTACCATATCGTCTACTGACAACAAAGTTTGCCACCTATAGATAAAAGAGAAACCACGGGGTTAATGCTAATTTTTTCTTGAAAATTTAACCACGTGGAATCAATCCTTGATTGTATAAATGGAGGCATAGAATCAAAATCACGTAAAGTATTAATACCTTTTTAATACCTTGGTAAGACCACACCTGGAATTCTGCATCCAGTTTTGGTCACCACATTATGAAAAAAAGATGTTGAGACTTTGGGAAAAGTGCAAGGAAGGGAAACTAAGATGATTAAAGGCCTGCAGGCTAAAACATGAAGATATATGAAGAAATGTTGAAGGAATTGGGTATGGCTAGTCTAGAGAAAAGAAGGACTAGGGGTGACATGATAGCAGTCTTCGAATATTTGAGGGGCTGCCACAAATAAGAGGGGGTCAACTTATTTTCTAAAGCCCCCAAAAGCAAAATAAGAAGCAATGGGTGGAAGTGAATCAAGGAGAGAAGCAACCTAGAACTAAGGAGAAATTTCTTGAGAGTTAGAACAATCAACCTGTGAAACAGCTTGTCTTGAGAGGTTGTGGGAGCTCCATCACTGGAGGCATTTAAGAAGAGACTGGACAGCCACTTGTCTGAAATGGTATTAGAGCAGGGGGTTGGACTAGAAGACCTCCAAGGTCCCTACTAGCTCTATTCTGATTTATTGATCAGTCTATTAATAAAATGTGGCAATGTGCCTTACTGGTTTTACTGATAGTCAGTTCAGGATAGTCAGTTCAAAGAAACACAACAGATGAATTGTAACTATGTTCTCCTTAATGACTGAGGTCCAGAGAAATTCTCAGATCATCCAGGTCACGGCTGCCCCAAAGGTGCTTTTTCCAGAAGGCAACTGGACTTTCTTGGGGTTTTTTTTCTTCTTCTTCTTTGCAAACATTTTGCTTCTCATCCAAGAAGCATCTTCAAGTTCTTCTGAGGAGCGAAATGTTTTCCAAAGAAGAAAGTCCAATTGTCTTTTGGAAAAAGCACCTTTGGGATAACCATGACCTGGTTGAATGGATGAAGCGCTTTGGGGATGATTGGGCTTACATGTCACACTAAACCATCTTGGGTTTTTTTTTTTCCTTGGGTGGCTTCGTATCTTATGGGAATACAGTGACCGTCGCTTTGCAAACTGCACTTTATGGCTTAGTGCAGAGGTCTCCAAACTTGGCAACTTTTAAGACTTGTGGGCTTCAACTCCCAGAATTCTCCAGCCACAAGTTGCCAAGTTTGGAGGCCCCTTGCTTATTGGGTCAGTTTAAAATTATAAGCCATCGTTGATGACTTATTACAATGTGTGAACCCAATCAATTACAGTCACTTCAAGCCCATTTTGGCGTGCAGAAATGGGTTGATGGTGCTTCTCTCATCACCAAGTCATGAAGAGAATTGGTTTCACGTGATTTGTTTTTTTTCCCCTTTCACCATTTTTGGTAATAGTGAAGTCACATTTTCTTACCGGGCTCTATAAACACGGTCTAAGAACTGAATAGAGCTGTTGGACATCGGCGTCTTCGCTTGTTTTATCAGCCAGTGCTTGTCCTACAAAAGGGGGAAAGATCCAGCAGGCAACTTCCAGAGATATCCAATGGTTCAAGGGTGGGGTATTAGACAGGGAGGATCTATAAAAGGAAACACCCCCTTCCCCCACCATATTCAGGTAGTCCTCGACTGAGCCCAAAATTTCTGTTGCTAAGTGAGACACTTGTTGAGTGTCTCACTAGTTGCCCTACTTTATGACTTTTTCAGTTTGTTCTGACCAAGGCTTCTTGAGACCACAATTAAGCACATGCTTAGTTAAAACAACTCTTGTTTTATTTCAACGCTGGGAATTATGTTCATTCCCAGCCTGTAATGAGTCCCAAACCATCCCTCGAGATAAGCACCCACCTTTCTTTCCTGTGAAGTGCTGCCAATAACAAAAGTGTCAAATGAACTAGAAAAAAAACAACTGAAGTACAAAGAGCTTCAAGAATGAGTCTGAATCGAACGAACGACTTTGCTTCCTGCAAGGGTTTCTCTACCTTTGCACCTCCTTTATACCTATGGGAGGGGCAATCACCTCCCAGCCTTACTCCTGAATCACCCCTTTTGTCTTAATTGTTCTTGCCTTCTGGCAGCTCTGCGCATATGCGCAGTGGAAACAGGCTCCCCTTGTTCCTCTGCCTCACTGCTGCCAGACTCCGGAGTCTCCAGAGTCAGCACCCCACTCCCAGGTGGTCCTGGCCCCATCTCTGCATCGGATGTAGGACCAATGTCTGAGTCCTCAAGACAGTCCTGGCGATTGTCAGGAACAAACGTTGAGTTTATCTAGTGCTGGCTGCTGTTATCTTAGTTCCTGGCACCCTCCCAACTGGTTTGGTTTACTGCCGTGTCACTTCACTTCTGGAACTCCTTATCTTGCCCTGCTGGATTTATTATCTTATTTTGCCTTGTTGGATTTATAATTTAAAGTTTTCTGTTTACAATGTTTGGATTGGAATATCTTCAGCCAAAGGCTGTTGTAGGTTCCTGGGAGAGTTTTCTTCTCCAGACTGGAAAGTAACCGGGACACTGGGGACAAAGTTGGAGCTAATAAACGGACCCATATTTATTCTCTGGCTGAGTTGCCTTTGTGCCACGCCCCAGGTCATCACACCTGCTTTAGCCTGCTTGAAGACCACACCCCTTGGCATGCGTTGGTGAAACTCACCTTCCCGTGCACATTGAAACTGCCATTGCGAGGGGCCTTGAGGCTACCGTAGGTGGACTTGTAGTGAGGAGCCGCCGTCCAGGGCGAGTGTGCAGCAGGCGGGGCTAACACCATGAGGAAGGGAGGGCGCGAAAGCTTCCGTAGGAACTCCAGGCTCCGGTTGGTCTGCAACACAGAAAGGATTGGGAAGGACAGAAGAAGACACAAGAGGACAGGAGTGGAGAAAGCAGCTATTCAAGTTTTACTGGGATGAAAGGCAGGGGCTGTTTTCAGGCACTCACATGCCTTCCCTCGCCGCCGTTCGCCCCCCTCCCCCCAGGGAAGAATTTGCAGGGACTGGTGAAGAAAGAACCAAGATGGCAGCCACCACGCTCCGGTCAAACCTCCACTCGTTCTGTTGGAGAGCCATGCGTCTTGCGTTTTGGCCGCGGCCGCCATCTTGGCTTTTCTTGAGCCTCCCTTGCAGCCACCCCAGAGTGGAAGGGAAGGCCAGGAGGAAGCAGAGTGGACTCACCAGCAGGTCCGTGAGGTAGTCCTCTTCGTAGTGGTCTCCGTGTTTCTCCTCATGCCCGTTCAACGAAAGGGTGTAATTGTAGTACTTAGAATTGCCCACCTGTGGGGGGGGGGGGGCGGAGGGCCTGGTAAGACTCAAGGAAGATGATTTATTTATTTAAAATGTTTTTAAATGGCTTGGTCTTTAAAAAAAAAAAAAAACCCTCGCAGCAGTTTATATTACACTCAAAATGCTGAAATGGCAGTTGAAATAAATTGATATAAAGCCTGTGTTAAAACATGACATAACTGAATAGAATAAAGAAACAGGATAGAAATAGAACAGAATAGAATAGAATATAGAATACAATAGAAGAAATAGGATAAAAATAGAACAGACTAGAATAGAAGAAATAGGATAAAAATAGAATGGAATGGAATGGAATA